CAATAAAAAACGGCAAGAAACGAAGCAAACAACCCCATTGGTCAATCACTTGAAGTTCACGTACAAAACAGAAATTGCGCCAAAAATCAAGTGAGCCACTTTTGGAAATTCAAACGATATAAAAATAAACGTAGACAGCTCCAGACAGTCAGTCTCACGAATTCGCAGAGTACTTTCCAATATACTCCACGCCACTACGAATCACAATTTTGCCGCGCACGAAGATACATCGCCGACTCATATTCGCTCATTCATTAATCAACTCTGTGAACACTTTTCTCAACTTTGCTTATGTACAGTGAATTAAATTCACTACTTTAAAATAAGTAAACATCAACGAACATACAACATTACGAAAACATCAACTACGTTTAAGGGTAGATCACGCTAAAAAACTCTTTTCAAAAGACGCTTATAATTCACAATTACAATTATTGACACAAACAAAAAGACAGTGAATCAACGAACAATATCAACAAAGAGACATTCACAAATCTAACAATTACACACACATTTTGTCCACACGACACACACTGATTATCCAATCTGTATATTGTTAAATTGTATATAAATGTTGCATTGATTTCTAAATTGCATATGTCTCGTTTTTAATTTGCATTTTGAATTTCATTTATTTATTTGTTTGGGATGCAGCAAGACACGCAACCAACTCAAAATTCCTTCTGATTCCTTCTTAAATAATTAACTCTGCACGTCCCCAACAGTACAGTGTGTTATCATTGGTTGCGTTTTTAGAGGCATATCAACACCTCTATGGGTTATTTAATGTCTAAATATGAAAATTCAAACTTTATAATAAATTCAAGAGAATGACATTATTTCATGGTTAAATTAGAAGCTGCATTTTTTACTAATTAAACTTTAAAAAAAAAAAAAAAAAAAAATCAAACGAGTAGTGAAAACTTGTTTCTCCTTACAAGAAATGGAATTAATCATAGCAAATTGATCTGGGTTTTATTTTTCGTTCTTTTTTTTTTTTTTGTTTTAAAAAAAAAAAAACCAACAAACACCACCACCACCAACATGTATTGCTGGAATTTTTACTTTAAAAATATATTTTCAGTTTCATGTAGGGTGGGATTCACTATTTGTCTATAGCCAAGACCCTAACAGGAACTACCACCCCAGGTCCAAGTGGACAACAGCAATTAAGACTTGGTTCCACGATTCTTAATACTTCCAATCTCACGACCAGAGGCCTTGTTGCCGGATGTAGTCTATTGTCTTACCCAAGATATGTGGGTTATCGTGCCCGATATGAAGTATGGACATTCATATTACTTCATCTTTCCGTGTTTTTAGTTTGGATGCTATTCTTCTGTTAGGTTTGATGGTGTATAATTTGTTGCTTGGGTAGCAAGTCAATAGTTTCAGTCATGGTTCTTTCATAAAAGTGTTAATTGTAGATGTGAAGTTTGTATCGGGGATGTTCGTGCTTGAACTATCTAATAAATCATTCAGGTTGATTTTTTGCCTTGCGAATCGGTCCTATCGTAATAAAGCAAGAAGAAAAGCAAATTTTATTATCAGAACGAGTGACGAAAGCGAAGAAACATCCGCTCTTATGTTACATAAGTTACCTAAAGACATTTAATAAGTAGGACACGAAGAACTTGAAATTGTAAAAAAGCTTGAGAGACAAAGCAATACAAATCTATCAGACGTATTGGACACAAACAGCTTCCATGTGAATAGAAAACAAATACGCAAAAAGATAAAGAGTATGATAAGGGCACATTTTCTCAATGTACAATGAAATGAGAATAAAAAGACCTAACTAGATTCCATCAACAGGCATAGCCTTAATGACATACGCTACGTAACGTCATATTATTGCTAAAGTTGCTGTAAAATGTAACCATAAGTTCTATTCTAATAGTATCTTCTCTCGCACTTCTCACCTGTGGAACGGTCTCACGACCTTTGTTTTAAAAAGTTTAAACGCACCGTAAATCCTCATCTGTTTTCTTATATTGTTTTTTTTATTGGCGTTTTTGTCAATATCGTTTACTCAGTTTCTTTCAATCTCAAAAGATTGAGATTATACGTTTATAGGGTGACGATGGGGAAAATGTCGACATTTTATATATTTTTTTTATTATTTCGCGCCTTCGGGTTGTATTTTTTATCGATTATTCAGTATAGTGGGGGTCAGTTGTGCACTGTCTGTGCGAAAAAGACGCAATTCACTGTAACACAAATTTGGATACGACATGCTGTACTGCTTATAAAGTACATATATATATATACATATACATATACATACACACACACTCTTAGAGGCGACAGTCTGTTTCATGCTATATGCAATCGTCAGGCCACGTGGCCTGACGATTGCATATTATAGCATGAAACAGACTGTCGCCTCTAAGTGTTGACTTCTATGTTCACTTTTATATTTACACACCTTAAGACTATATATATATACACACGCGCGCGCAAATATACTTGCATGTATGTATAAATATATATGTCCTCTCGGGTGTTATAATCTCAATTTTATGCGAGAAAGCTATAAATACAGGTCAGTGAATGTGCATAAATATTCAACGTCTATAGCACGACTCGGCGTTTCATGTTGCAATCTTTGTGTTCGGCGCGCTGACCCTGGAGTTTGCGTTCTCTTGGCGTAGAATCAAAGTTGTGCACGAAGACTTTTTCATTATTGTTCCCTAAAATATTAGAATTAATTATTTATAATCAAATTTTTTCGAAAGGCGAAGAACTTTGGAAAAAAAAAAAATAAATAAAAAAATAATAATAATAATTATTATTTAAATTTAAAAGTAAACAAGATATCAAGGGGGATAACTCTTTTTGCATAAATAACAGTTAAACCAATTAAATTAAACTAGTACTCAGGGTGTAAATAATAGGTCGGAGCTATATATGTCTTTGGAAACAAGCCTTAGAATTATAAAGGTGAAATTATATATACATGCGTTATAAATTAATCGAGTAGAGTAATATTGGATTATATGTGTGTATAGATATACAAGAAATATTAGTAGTTGCATATTAATATTCATATTTTGTAATCACTTTAATCGAGGTCAAAGTTTTTGAGGGGATGCTTGGATTTATGAATACATGTAGACATCAATTCTGATCTCGTGTTGAACAAGTTAAGGTTATTTAAGTGTTTTAATATAATAAGCATCTCCAACAAATATAAATATATATATATATATATATATATATATATCACCATGAATCAGTCATACAAGTAAATTAGTACTTAATGATATAAGAACTTTCGACGGGTCCTTCGGTAATCATCAGTCAAGGAAACTATTTTCCTTTTGGTAAAATTCAGGTAGCATCCGAAAGTATTTGCATATTTAAAGAAGACCTAATACAGTTTATAATTTAAAAAAGGATCAAAACATTCATCGAGTAGTTAGTGGGTTAATGCATCTTTAAAATTTTGTTAGTGAAGGGATTTCGCCATTTTATATCGTTAACTTTACTAATTTACTTTTTGTAGGAATGATTCATTGTGATATAAATTGAACTGCACCACATATTTTATTTACATATTTTCCAGTCTTGAACTGGGGATAGCTGGCACATAGTAATGCTAGTTTGAAATTGACTATACCAACATGAGGTAATTTTGGAGTGTTTGATGTACAAAATATATGTTCTGTTCTAATAAATACATTGAGTTCTCTGTGAATCAGTTTTAATATCTGATATTACTAGAATCCATCTGGATTATTTACAGTGTAACCCGGATATAAGAGAGTTGTCGGGACCGGAGAAGAAGCCTCTTATATCCGGGTTTGGTCTATTATATATACATTAACACAGGCTCTAATTTGGGACCAGAGAAAATCTCACTTATATCCGGGTTACACTGTACAAACAGATCTATTACATATACATATATATATATATATAGTATTAAATAGTTCGGTAATAATTTACTTCAAGTAGCTCATCAGATCGGAGTTATAAAAATGATTTAAATCATCCAGACAATTCATTAAAATTTCCAAGAGGAAATGAATAAGAGATTTGACAGACAAAAAATCATTGAACAAATAAGAGAAAGAGGTAAAAACAAAAAGATATTAACCCAACGAGCAGGGCTGGTAGGGGGGGGATACAAAATTACAGCCAATGAAATACATTGAAATAAATCAAATTTTTATTCATATCATCTATATCTATATAACAGTCCTTTGGTATATAAATCCAAGTGGGTCTTAATATAAAATATTAAAACTGATCCGCAAAAAGAAGTCAATGTATTTATTATAACAGGGCCAATAAATTACATAACAGAGAAAAAGAATTACCTCATGAGGTAATTTTGTTTTGTTTTTTTATATATATATATATATATATATATATATATATATATATATATATATATATAATTGGAGATACCTACATTAATATAGTAATATCTGTTAGTAGCTCTAAGATAGCCCGCGTCAATATAGAGAAATGGCACGTTTGTCTGACTTACCGAGTCTAGCTTTGGATTCTCACTTTGTAGCCCCATACTTCTGGCCAAGTGCCAAACAAAAGAAGTATTACAAAAAATAAAAAATAAATAAAATAAAATAAAATGCCCACGGATTTATTTGGCGGTTTGGAAAATTACCACCGGCATGACTATTCCGTATTAGCCCTTAAACTTGGTACAAAAGTGGACATATCGAAAGAAATGCTAAGAAAACAAGTTTGGCTTAGAAATTTATTTCAATATTAGACAATAACGATTAACATTTGTTTTTTAAGATCTCTCCAATTTCCGAAATACTTTTTGCAGGGTCATTTTTGGTCTCTATTTGATTAAATTGTCTTTTCGGTGCCTGGGGTGTCACATAAATATTTCGCACAATTTCTGACTGGAATTGTGCATAATCCGGTAACTTGCTCAGTAATTCAACCATTTTCTCCCCGCATTCAAAATGTGGACGCCGATGAAAAATACGAACAGGAGGACTGAATTTGACAGTACCCTTATGATTCGGGAACATGGGTACTGCCACTTCACTGATCGTTCGTTCTTTCAAAGGTGAGAAGGGTAAAAGATAAATTCCATTGCTAGATTTTTCCTTGGGTTTCACTAACTCGTCCCCGCTTCCAGTCGCTGGAAAACAAAAAGTATTCAAAACATTGAATGTCTAACGTTCAATTAAACAAAGCTTACATATAAAAAAATAAAAAAAAGGCTCGCCGTTGGTTAATTATTAGCAAGTTCAGAACATTCTTAATACCCAGCCCAGAGATTGAACTCGCAATTACTAGGTCAAAACATTCACGAACCAACGCTTTAACCCAGAGACAAACAGAGTGGATTAAAACGTTGGTTCGTGAATCAGGTGTAATTGTGGGTTCAATCCCTGGGCCGGGTAGTATGTAGTTGGACTCTGTGGAGATTTGGTGAGTAATAAGTGAGCAGTACTAAATACTAGAATTAGATATTTTACCGACACATCAACCACACGGATCATTTCCCACCGAATCGAGTAGTTCTAAGGTTTGTTTTTATTTTGTGTCTATTTTGCTGACAAATTCTTTTCTAAGTCCTTATTATATAAGGTTGGGAATGCAATTCGGTTTTCTTGCATATTGTAGCCGTGTGTTCGGTTTCCTTTTTATATCTGGGGGTAGTGTTTTATTACTTTTAATTATATAAGGGCTTTGGGCTCGATACTCAAAGAGGGCCCTAAGTTTGGGTATATAATAATGTTAAATTTCGTATAAATCCCAGTTCTTTTTGCAGTTAATGTTCGACAGTGAGTATTTCTTCACAGTTTGAGCATTTTGGAAGGTCTTCATTTTTTTTTTTTTTTAGGAATAAAGAGAGAGTTGTGTGAATGTGTCCGATTTTGATTCTTGTAAGTGTGACATCTTTTCTTAAGTGTCTGGTACTTCGATGTTGTACAGCCAGAATAAGTTTTATTTGGTATCGTTTGTTGTTTGTGTGTGTGTGCATAACATGAATTTTGTCATTGGTTGAGGGTTTAACCAAATACTAGACGAGATAGTGGGAAGAGAACCGTCTAACCCAGTAGATTAATTAAAGGGATGTTCGAAGTTCCCTGTATGTTATCCAGATCGACCAGCACCTGATGAAGGCCGAGGACCGAAACGTAATATCAATGACGAGGGCAATATTTCGTGTGTAAATATAAATAATAAAATGCTTATCCCCCCCATGATAATTAAAAGAAATGATTTGAAAGTACAACTGAAAAATATTAAAAACAAAAAAGAAAAATCACTTACAGCTGTCATTAGAATTTGTCCCAACGGAAATTCCAGAATCGTGAGAACTGGGGAAAAATAGAAAAGGCAAGCTGACAAACAGAGATTTAATTTAGGAAGTTAATGTTATTTAGGATCTTAATTTGGCTTAGCTTATCGTACAAAACCAAAGATAGGAAGATTTTGTCCGTTTTTCCTAACAACGTGTATCCTGCTTTTTATTTAATCATTTCACCCCAGACAAATCGATAATGCTACCAAAACACCTGGTGTTACTGGGAGTGAAAAAGAACGAGAAGACTTTAGTGCGAACAAAGGACAATAAAAGAACAGGGTCCCGGAATACAGAAGATAGCGTTTGACGTTACATTTAAATTTTTAAAGATCGTAGCAAAACTAGAAACAGGAAGAGAGTTCCACTAGCACGAAGTGGGGGGGGGGGAATATGAGAATAGAAGTTACTCTTAGATTTCGCTATTTCAACAGTAAAACGATGCAACCTCGTAGCCACTCCAGTAGTACGCTTTAATTCATGCGTTGGGGAAGCAAGGAGAGCTCATTAGTACAATTATCATGAAAATATTTTTAGAAAAGACAGAGGGAATCCACGACGTCAAGGCGGTGAGAAATGAACTGAAGTTAAAATATCAACTCAGGATCGATGACATTACAAAACACTTCTAGGGATTTTGTCGAGAATCTCGAGTTAATAGCAGAAGCAGCAGACCAGGGATTTAGGAAAATTTGTTAATTTTGACAAGATATGAAAATTCATTAACTATGAAATAAAAGTCGATTGAAAATTGATTTTAGGTCCGACTGGAGTGAGGATTTGGGGGAAAATCCACTCCCCTTATTTTTAAATAACTGAAAATCGTGAGGGTCTAGATAGAATAAAACAATACCAGGATCGTACTTACAGAAGTGGGGGTTAAACCTCTTGCCCCAATATATCTTTTAAAAAGTATTACTGATTCTAGATAAAATCCTACTACAATAATACCAGGGCTGTATTTTCTGTAAATGGCTAGCCACCACCCATACATTATATATATTATATATATATATATATATATATATATATATATATATATATATATATATATGGGTTCTAGTCCAGATAAAACCCAACTGCAACAATACCATGTCCGTACTTTCTGGATGTAGTGAAGTGTGAAAATCCCTCTTTGAGGGGTATAGATATTCGGATAGTTATGACAAGCCAAGACCAGCTATGACTAGCTTAGGCCAGCTAAGACCAGCGGCCAGAGTAAAAACACAGGTCCTCACGTTAAAAACTGACCTTGTGTCACAACCTGACACAGTGGAAAGGCAAGTAAATTTCACTTTCTGGATGTAGTAAATAAATTAAGTTTTAGATAGTTATCTCTTTTTAAAGAAACAAAATAACTATATAGCCTTATTTCTATTTCAAAAATATAGGGGAGGGGACTTAGCCCTCAAATCCCAAGTTTAGAACGACCCTAAAATCAATTTTCAATCGAGTTTTATTACATAGTTACCGAATTTTCCTACCTTGTTAAAATTACCGTATTTTCCGGACACTCGAGGACCAAATATGGCAGCAATATTCAATGCATGAATGATTGCCAGAAGAAAACAACAATCGGAGTTCAAAATCTTACTTTGGACTTAAACCTGAAAACAGACCTGAATTCGACCAACAGGTCACATGTAATTCAGCGCGAAGGTCCGTATATAGCTGCCTGCCTAAGAAAACTATAAATGGGGATTGCCAAGAGACGAAATACCATTGCTAGAATTGTATTGGTCCTAACAGAAGGCCGTGGACGTTCCCCATAACCTATTCAATCATCAGATTGTCAAACTGAGAAATATCTCCAAGGGCAAGAGTTATTTGTAGGTACCCGTCTCTCTAGGAAGTATATGACTAGATGCACGTAATAAAAGAGAATCATATGACTAGATGCACGTAATAAGAGAGAATAGATTCCTAGACCAGAATTAAACGCTCAACAGATTGCATTTACAATGGTTTAAATGTTCCAACTCTTTCAGGACACACACCGACTATTCTCTAGTGCGGAGGATGAAAAGATTACAATGCGCGATTTCAAGAATAGGATATTTACGTCTTTTTATGAGGCGGGGTGCAGAATATAATAAAATTATCTAAAATATTAATCGTGTATGAGTCACTTTCAATAAATGTTACTGAATCAAACAGTTTCGCGCGTTTGTTTAGCGGCATATCAAATCTTTATGGGTCATTTAATTTTCTTGGTAGCATTAGTAATTCCTCCTACGAAAATGTATTCCCTAGAGATATGTATTGTTGGCATTTTTTTCTATCTATAAGAACGCACTGACGGTATTTTTTTTACGATAAAAATGTTTATACTTTCGTCGTGTTTTAACCCCAGTTCCGTGGATCAACTAATTGCCCACAGCTGGAGCCATAACAGGTGCTACCACCCCGGGTCAGGATGGATGTAGGAACAACAGCAATTAAGAGTTGGTTCCACGCTCCTCAAATCTTCCCGATCAGAGGCCTTGCTGCCGGATGTAGTTTATTTTCACTCCCAGGACTAATCTTTATAATAATTTTTTTTTTTTGTAGATATCAGTGTTTGAAATAGACTACTAGTTTTGTTTTAATTTTAAACAGTATATATTTCTTTATACATGCTTAGACAATCATGTATCTTTCGATACATGACTGACGAGGTAGATTTTTTTTCCCGCAGTACGTTGCCATTTCTTTCTGCGGTAGATCAATTGCCATCCAAGGCTATAGAACCCGGCCTGTCCTATTTATCTATAGCTGGTAGGAAAAGACGATTCATATCTTTTCTAAGGGTATTAGCAAATAAGTGAATGTAATGGATTTCTTATTATTCTTACTATATACCTATATATGAACAAGTGTTAAATGACTTAAATAGACGTTTTTATAGTCTTTTTCGAATCAACCGATAAACGTTTTCCGTGTGTATGCGCGTTGAGAAACTTTGCAGGTTTTGGGGCGAATACAAAGGACACCAACAATGAAGACTTACACTAACATTCTCTCCCACACGATAAATGGTGAGTTTAGTAAATATCTTGAACAAATGTATGAATGATCAGGAACACTATATAAATTCAGAAGTTTTAAATGAAATCAATAGGGATTCCTACTGTGCCGTGATACCTTGCAAACTGGTCACGCAGACTAAATTGGTTTAGTTTTGGAAGCCCACCACTACTAAAATTTGAATTTAGATACTTACGACTGCTTAGGATTATAATTCAATGTGTTTATATTGAAAATAATATCGCCTTTCAAAAAAAAAAAAAAAAAGTTACTTTAAATTAAAGCATATTTTTCTTAAATTTATTCAGTGATGATATTAGCCGTCATTAAATTTTATTGTACTCGACCTTTATAAATATAGGAAAAGCACAGCAATTGACACAAAAATAAAATCAAGCAGGTTCATTTCATCAAATTTAACTGCTGATTTGTATCAATTGAAATCTAATTGTCTTGTTTCATGTCACTTTGTTACCTTCTGCTAAAAGGCAAGCTTAAAAAAACTGGATGCTTTGTGATGTTTAACAAGTTAGTCTTGTTTCCAATTACTGTTTAGCCACTTCGATTCCAACTGGGTATGCCCAAAAATAGCAGAACTAAGATTAGTAAATAAATTAATTTTATTCCCCATATATACAGAGGAAAGGTTTCAGCCTTTATCACCCCCAGTTATTTTCTACATCTATATATAAAATTCTGTGACTTCTTTTAGTCCATCACACAGTCTAAAAGAGCCATAGATTGAACGATCAAAACCACATATTATGGAGAAGCAAAAACAAGTAAATGGATACAAAGTACAGTTGACTTTATTAGGGTGTGTAGTTTAGTAGTATAAATTTATTATTTTTATTTTATTTATTTATTTTTTTTTTTTTTTTAAATTAAGTTTTAGTCAACACACAATACTAACACTATTTTAAAAAACAACTTAATGATTAAAATAACAAATTACTTATTTAATAAAAACTGTAATATCATTTTTGCGTATCTTTAATTTTTTATATTTCATCGACTGGTTTACGAAAATTGAAGAAAACGTAGAGTTTGTAAATCTTGACAAAAAAAAAAATGTTAGCGATAATATCAAACATACTAAATACTATGAGGATTTCAAGAAGCATCAGCGTGTTTCAAAAAATAAATAAATAAATAAATCTAGTTTTATATATATATATATATATATATATATATTTATATATATATATATATATATATATATATAAGAGGGAGAGAGAAAAAGTTTCTAGTATAACTACACAAAATGAAATGCTACAAAATTTTGAGTTTCGGTTCTTGAATTCTTTTCATTTAGCCGAGAAGGTATATTTAAAATTTAGTAGTGTTGGACTTTCAAATATAACTCAGTTTACTCCGGTAGACGAAAATAAATTAGTAAATAATAAATGGATCGTCTACTAAAGATTGTCTACTCTTGAGTAGACGGTCCATTTATTACTTATGTTCTGTGAGTCAAGTTTTCTCAACCTCCTTTCCGCATTAAATTTTAAATATACTTCTCGGCTAAATGAAAAGAATTCGAGAACCGAAATTCAAAATTTTGTAGCATTTCATTTTGTGTAGTTATATATCAATTCTCTCTCGCTCACACATTTATATATATATATATATATATATATATAAAATCAAAATCCAGGCAGGCAATGACTGGCCACGACTACTAGTTTCATGCATTTGTACGCAATTGTCAGGCGGCTAGTGACTAGTTTGTAGAATGTGTACCCTATTTTAAAAAAAATGTTTATGTATATCATCGTGGTTTTTACTTCCCGAACGAAGATTTCAGGAGTTTGTCGACCGCTGTTGAATGATGCCTCACAGGTGAGGCCCATTCAGAAAATACAAAGAGTCTTTTAGCCTCGGGTAGTGAAGAGAGATACCAAAATCAAGCAAGTACAACAATTTAAATATCTGGGACGTGTTTTTACTATGTTTAATCAGGACGGGAAAATGCGACACTGAAATCTGAAAGCGCATTGCGATAGCGAAAGATGCCTTCCAAAAGGTAAGTATTAAAAAACAAGAAAATCTCATTAGAAAAAAAAAAGAAAAGAAAAGAGTGCTGAATTGTTATGCAATATTGATCCTCCTATAGATCAGTGAACGACAGACAACCTCCTCACAGATTAAGAAGAGACTTGAAGCAACTGAAATTTAAGGATACAGAAAGTCACTGAGAATACTATGGACTGAACCTGGAGCAACGGAGTTTTAGAGAAAATGGAAACAAAAAGGACAGAAAGAGACAGTTGAAAATTCTATAGCACATAATGAGGAAAGAAGGCTGAGAAAACTTGACTCACAGAATATATGGAGGCAAGACGGATAGAGGAAAACCATGCATAATCTAACATACTTGTATAAATAAGTGACAGTACAGGGATTAAGTGAGATAACAAAAAGATAAAATTTATTAAGAGCTACAAAAGGACAGGAAATTGTTGAGGACCAAGATCCCTAGCGTCCGTAAGGGATATGGGGCATAAAATATTATTTTTAGAAGGCAAGTATGTAGTGTTATACCGTAACTAACTTAATATATGGAAAAATAATTGTGAGTACAGATCAAGACTAACACTGATGAGATATTTGTAAAATATTTGTAAAAAAAAATTGGTTTGGTTTACGGCATATCAACCTCAATGGGTTATTTAATGCCGAGTTTTTATTGCTGGTAATTTTTCTTTTTAAAAAAAAAAAAAAAAAAAAAAAATGGATTTCTGGTAATATTTTTCTTAAAAACTATATTGACCCCCAGTTTACGGGTTAACTATTTTCCCATAGCTAGGAACCGTGACAGGTGCTACCACCGCGAGTCAGCTTGTACCTGGGAACACCAGCAATTAAGAGGTGGTTTCCTACTACTCAAAATCTCCTGACCAGAGGCCTTGCTGTCGGATGTAATTTATCGTCTTACCCAGGACGCAGAAAAAGATTGAACACATATATAATATAAAAACTAAAGAAAAAAATATACATCATAATGGTTTTACTTCACGAAATGCGATTAAGATATTGTCTGTCGCCTGCAGGATACAAAGAGAGTCCCTTATCTTCGGGTGGTGAAGCTAGATCAAAAAAAAATATATCAAGCAATACACCAATTTAAATATGTGGTTATTTAACTATGAAAATGTATTGCCGGTATTTTTAATACATTCTTAGTGGGGTTTTTTTTGGGGGGCGGTGCCATCACTATTTGCTTCATGGCTGGGACCTTAACAGATGCTACCAACCTGGGTCAGGTCGGACTAGTGAATAACAGCAATTAAGAGGTGGTTCCACGCTCTTCAATACCTATCGATCAAAGGTCTTGCTGTAGGATGTAGTTTATCGTCATACCCAGGAATACAAGACACTATTCACCTTTACATATGTGCGGAGGCATAATTTTGAAGAGTAATACCATAAATACTTTCAGTTTTTGATGTATGTATCTAAGAATCAGGTAAGAGACAGTTGAAGTTTATAGATCAGATAATGAAAAAAAAAGGGACTTAGAGAATTTGACACTCAGAAGATATTGAAGGCAAAATGGACAGAAGAAATGGAGGTATAACAGAGACTAGAAGTGATAGCAAAAAGCTAAAACTTATACTAAGAGTCACAAAGATAAGGAGTTGGGGAGAGCCATGATCGCCTACTCTCTTGAAGGGACACGAGATATAGAAACTATATATTTTATACAATAATTACGAAAGAAAATTAATTTTTTTTTTGTTATTACGGTATTGGTAACCTCCGACATGTAATTTGTATCGCCACTGAAAACCGACAGTCGAAGTTTCTATAGCCAGAAATTATTGCAACATTAAAAAAATGGCTGGGAAACTGCCCAAAATTCATGAACCACCGTTGCACACAGAACTATACAGATTAATTTCAGTTTGTTTTTTTTTGTTTTTTGTTAATGGCGTCAAATGCTCTATTTAATATTCGTGTAAAATTTTAAAGTTTAATTCGCGTTAACTATTGTGACGGAGACAACCAATAGTTTCGTTTTGATTATCATTCCGTTGAACTTGGTCTGCAGGTTTATCTGATTTTTTGTTATAAGAACTGAAAAGAAATATCGCTATTTTAAAACTTAAAATTTACGCCTCAAAATAACAATTAAGTGATTAGTAATAAACAAAACTTTTGCTTTACTTGCCGTATTTTACCCCTACCCATTCTTCGTTCTAAGAAAAAAACATGAACGGTGGCTGATATTGTGTTCTTCTTTACCTGCTTGAAGAATCTGTTATTCGCGTTTCTTTCAATATCTTCGGCATTACTTCCATTTCGTAATGGCCAGTCGCATGGAGTTGACGTTTCAAAAGATTTTTTTTTTAAGTTTAAGGTCATACCACTGTTTTAATATCAAGGTGTGGAAGTAATTAAAATAAATGAATGGCCCCGACCGTAGCACAATGTTTATCAAGAGTGTTTTACAAAACCAAACGTAGTAATTCCGCATGTGTTGTTTTGTTGTTATTTTTGCTTTTTTTATGTAGGCAGGCCCTCTCAACTTGGAAGTTTGGCGCAACATAATCTTCTCATCAATCCATTTTGGCTTTGTAAAGTATTAAGCTGAGTAAATGTATCTTTCAGAAGTTTTGTGATGCATCAATAAATATCTATGTTCCTAAACCTTTCTTGATCCTGTGTCTATGACGAGTTCAAATTTCAGCCTAGTTTACTTTCGCACAAAAACTCTTGGCAAAAGTGGAAATCCATCTCTTCTCCTCCATCTATGGGATAAATAGTAATGTAGACTAGGATCTCTAGCCTTGATTATTAGCAGGTCTAGAAGGAAAACTCCGATTTTCTGGTTAGACGTGGAGTTGGCAACTCCAACTAGTAAAAATCCAACTGTTATGGAAAACCACAACTGCAACTACATCTGGTGTAGTGAGGCTGTGGCCCTATGCTCCAGACCGGTGTTTAAGGAAGTCAGTGTCTTTTTTTTCTTTCCTTCTTTTGGTCTTTCTTTTTTGTTTTTCTTTCCTTCTTTTTTTACTTGCTGCTTTTTTCTTTCTTTTTTCTTTCCTTTTATCCTTCTCTTCTTTTTTCTTTGCGCCTTTTTCCTTTCCTTTTCCCTCTTTTTTCTAACCTTCGCTTTTTATCTTTGTTTCTTTTTTTCTTTTTTATCACGTTTTCCTTTCCGTCTTTTTTATTCGCTTTCTTTTCCTTTCCTTTTTTTTTTTCTTAGCTTAACTGTATTCTATTTTATTTGCTTTTCCTTCTTTGTTCCTTTTCTTCTTTTTTCCTCCTTTATTCCTTTCTTTTTCTTCCTTTTTTCCATCTTTCTGTTTCTTTCTTCGTTCCTTTATGCATTTATCTTCTCACTCTCCTCCTTTGTTTACTCTTACTATTCCCCTTCGCATCGTTTCCTCTGCTTTTTTTCCTTCTTCCTTCCTGTTCCACAACACTTATGCTTACTACCGTCTTGTGTGTGTATACAAAAGCATTAAATAATAATAATAATCATCTTTAGAAATTCTTCATTCATAAATATTCATTCCTGAAAATAAACAATAATAGCATAACACGGTCTGCACTCTCTCGTCATTTTTCCAGGATTTAGAATACCGATTCTCTAAAAAAGAGTTTGCCTTCCCCATTTCAGAAATAGACACACTACAATTCTTCTTACCTTCATTTCATATCATTTAGCCTTGTGCCATATTAAGCTAACCTTTCTAAATATCGATTTTTTTAAAGTTTTCACCCCAAGCAAGGCGGGAAGCTACTAACACGCAAGGGGTTACAGGGAGTAGGAGCGAGAGCAAATAGGAATAAATGAGGAAGGGATGAAGAGAAGGATAGGGGATAGATCAAGGCATCTGGAGACGTCGATTGACATTACATTTGAATAGTTGGAGAGAGTTCCACAGGCGAGAAGTGCGAGACAGGAAGCTATTGGAGTAGAAGAGACGGCTACATTTAACAGTTCCGACAGTGAAAGTGTGAGACCGAGATGCCAGCCTAGTTGTACGCTTAAATTCATGGGGTCTGGGAACCAGCGAAAGCAGTTCATCGGAGCAGTTACCGTGCTTGCTATCAGAACACGATGTTAGATTCTGGTTTAGAATGCTGATTTTCAAAGCCTTCTCTATTTAGTTGTTCAACATAATAGGCTAAACTTTACAAAATAAGACTGTGATGAATTTATAGCACACCATTATTTGTTGAATAAAGGGCCAAGGCATTTACGAAATTTAATTCATCTTTGGAACAAGGTCAAAGATATAAAAACTGAAGTGAAGATCGAATTCATCACTCAGTCGAAATGATCTTAAATCAGCTTGCTAACCACTGCCCACTTTATCGTTGCTTCGGGCCACACAAGGGGAAAGGGGGAAAAATCGCGTCAGTTTTAAATGTCATACAATGTTGACTGATATCAGCACAACGGCAACATCCCGTCATTTACTAAGCTTCGCTTAGTTTATACAAAAAGGCGGAGCACTCAGTGAGGCTTGACTTTATTTATTTTATTTATTTATTATTATTAACCAAGCGGCCTTTAGATCAAAATGAGCAAGCAGAAGAGAGGTGAAAGATACACCAAAGGGCACTGGCAACAATTCAGGAAACAGAAATAATGGAAACATTGAATGAGAAAAAAACGTTTAAAACAGCAGAAGAGGCACATTGGACACAAGTACAGTCACTATCCATCAATATATGCAAAATGGATTTTGTACTCCTTTTTGAAGATGTCTAAAGTCGTGGCATCGACAGCTGAAAGTGGGCGAGAGTGTTCTACTCATTCACTACCCGCTGTGAAAAAGGATATGTTCGTATGTTCAGACAGCAGTTTTAAAAGTTTTAGTTAGTGTCGTCTGGTAGATTTCTACTGGCTCTAATAAAATATTTATCGAAACCTATATTATTACTTGAATTTATTTTAAATATAAGATCATCGTAACAGTTCATGCCCGATTTTCATTATTAATATAAAATGGTCGCAACTTGACACTATTTTCATGCTAATTTCTGGTGTGTTCCAGATTGAAACCTTTCATCTTTCAGTTGTGAGTCAGATTTAAAGATGGAGGAATCTCTTATAAATAGAGGATGAAAAGTTGCACTTTCGCCATATTTCTATTGCTGAATCAAAAACACAATTCACCCGTGTAGAATTTGTTCTCGAGTAACAAGTAAACAGAGAAAGAAACATTATGAGCGAATAATTCGATAGATACCTATGTTTACATATTCAAACTCATTTGGTTTTTAACCCAACAGTAATTGTGTTAAACTGGGCAAACAAAAGAAACGTAAATGATGCAACAAAGAACACCAGACAACAATTCAGGAAACAGAAATAATGGAAACATTGAATGACAAAAAAACTCGATGGTACTCCTGAAATTGTCCTTAAAAATATGCTCTAAACTGGCTACAGCTTTCTTTAAGTTCGACAATAGATGCATTACTGCTTCTTGCTTTTAAGATTGTTGCAAATCCTCTTCTGTACAACCAACGCTTTTAGCCACTGGGCCATGTGTCCTTTTGAATCGAATGACTTGACCCAAGGAGTTGTGAGTTCAATACCTGGCTACTGCAGTGATGAACAAAACTTGAAGAGTTGAGTTAAAGGGAGATAACTAGTATATCCGGAAGAGGCATGACACGTGGAACTAGAACAATCTATCCCGGTGGACGAAATAAAGTGTTCAGTTTGAAATTCCAGTTACTTGAAGTAGGCCGGAATGTACAACGACCGAAACGTCGTGAATATGGCAGTAAAGATGAGGACACCATAATAATAGGTATATATCCCCTTACGTTCGGAAAGGCTAAAATATAAAATTCTAAGTAAAAATACTTTACGATAGTTGTAGGAAGGATCTAAATCGCTGAACTGTTTGCGTCCTGGGTCTGATGATAAACTACATCCGGTAGCAAGGCCTCTGGTTGGGAGATTTTGAACCACCACTTAATTGCTGTTGTGCCCATGTCTACTCTGACTCGGGGTAGTAGTACCTGTTAGGATCCTAACTATGGGCAAATAGATAACACCGAAACTGCGGCCAAAACACTATGAAAGTATAAAAATACATTTTCATAGTAAAAAATACCAGCAATACATTTTTGCAAAAGAAATTACTAATGCTCCCCAGAAAATTAAATTTCAGCATTAAATGACCCATAAGGATGTTGATATGTCACAAAACAAACAAAAATAGTTATAGTAATAGATTGGTGAAAGAGGGAGTGTGTTCCACATATTCACTAGCCGCTGTATATTTTTTATATTTTTTGTCACAATTTCTGGGACGAAGAGTTATTATTATTTACATTAATTACATGCGAACTATTATCCTCATCTTTATTGTTATTATCAAGATGTTTCCTCCGTTGAACCCACCGGCTTTCATTAGGTGCTTGTCGAGCCGGGTCTCCAAGTGCCTCGCCTATATGAATTTAAATGTGCTGCATTATTGCCAACTAGGTCACACCGTTTTACCTTTAAACTGGATGCAACCGTATGTTCTTTTCTAATAGTTTCTTTTCTCGCCTGTGGAACTTCTTGCGATTTATTGCTTCCCTGCCTCCTACAACGTCAATCGCCATCTTCTGTCTTCCTGAAACCTGTTCTTTTATTGTCCTTTTCCCGACTTCTCCAGATTAAAGTCTTCTCATTCTCTTTCACTCTCTGTAACTCCCGAGCATACTCGTGGCCTGACGATTGTAGTATCTAGCATGAAACAGACTGTCGCCTCTAAGTGTTGACTTCTATGTTCACTTATATATATATATATATATATATATAATGTTTTTATTTTTAAAAAGAGTGCTCGATACAGAAGTAGAGCTTAGATTATAATATCAATATCAAATATTGAAATTAAACCTTAATACTGCTGACCAGTTTCGAAACATTGTAATTTCTGTGTCGCGATGGAATCATATATATATATATATATATATATATATATATATATATATATATAGCTAGCAGGATGTCACAAGTGACCATGGGTTTGAGAGTGCTGGCTTTGTTCAGATTGTTAATCACGCTAGATAACACACCCTTTCCCAGTAACTGTAACTGCACAGTTGCAGTATAAACCACAGCTGGGCTGTGGGTGCTGAACAAGCACAAATGCGCCTGAGTGAGCACCTGCAATAGGGATTGGCTAGCCGCCCTAGTAGACGGGTATCCTTGAATACGATGGCCAGCTACACACACACACACACACACACACACACACACACACACACACAGACACACACATATATATATATATATATATAAAATGTATAGAAGATATGTAAAATATATAATCAGTACGAAAAACATTTATTAAATATTAATGAACTATATGACAGAAATGAAGTCCGGAATTTTCAGACACGCCTGTGTCCTACATCAACGGAGCGAGAAATAAACAGAGAAATGGGAATTACTCACCGCCGACAGATGTTTTTGTAGACGGTGTAATTCCTGGTGGAAATCATATTATGAGCAAAAACCAGATCTCTATCTGATTCCTTCCTCTGTATATAAGTGTATACTTATTTAAATCCCTAAAGGTTATGCATTTTGGTGTAGAATTAACAACTGCAAAGAAAGATAAATCCTCGTCAGTCATGAAGGCATAAGAAGGAAGGGGCCTTTTCATTTCTTGCAATAACAGACGATGTGAAGAAAGTGCAGGAACCAGTAGATTTTTTTTCTTCTCCCAAGAGCATCAGTGCGGAATTAAAGGCATGCAATCCAATCTGGAACTTCATATCTGTTTGCCGTGTCTGTTTCTTCACAGATACACCACATCGCACGAATTGAAATAAATCACAAAATACATTTTTGATAATCTCTAGGCTCGATCCACTTTCTAAAATCCAGTATTTTCAAAGTAACCTATGACCAAGCATTCAAATACTATTTTTTGGTGGGGGAGGGGTCGGACCCAGAACTTTATACACACCTTATAAAATATAATGAAAAAATAAAATATTCAAATTAATTGAAACGACCGCTTTAGTTCCCTTTCTTTCATCATACAGATTTAAATCCACTGGTGTGACAGGGTGTAATCGATTTCTATTTTTTCCTTGGATTCGGTCATTTGCAGTGGTGTGCAATAATATGAATCTATTTTCGTGGTGTATGATGAAATTTATTTGGCATTGAAAAATATCGCGTCACCCGTGATTGCATCAGATTTTTATCACCCCCAGACACTATTGTCACATATGTCGATTAGTTTTCCTAAGACCATTGTGTGCGTTACTCCAAGGAAGTTTACGAAAATTGTAACGCTGCACAAACACAGTAAGCCTTACCAGTGAGCAAATCAAAGTGCTATAGATCGCCACGGAAACACTCCTGATTTAAATCCAATCGAGAATCTGTGGTCAATCTGCAAGGAACGACTTCATGGAATGGACATACGGAGTACTAACATGTGCAATGAGTCATGTTTCATTGGAAAAATACGAGAAAAAAGTGAATAATAACGAAATTATTCGTTTTGTTTAATTTGTACCTGGGTGTGTCTTCCAACTCGGGATATTTTAGAGGTAAATATGTACATCAGAGGCAAGATAAATCTATCGAATTTATCAACAAATATCACATATTAGGTCTTGTCCTTATCGAGTTGCTACACCACATCCATCTAGTATTGCACACAGAGACTTGCCTGGGGTGTTAAGGTTTCAATGTCGTTCAATATGCATGGATCTTCAAGACAAACAAGATGTTTCATAATTTGTGATTCGTATTAGCACTTGGGATCATCATTGGTAGCATATCCCCATTTCTAAAGGTTGGCTCTACAACGACCAACAGCTGTTCGGAGGGGATTTAGGCACGACCAGAAAGGACAGGCATCACTGAAGCTAGGGGAGGGATTCTGTAGGGTAAGAGAGAGAGAGAGAGAGAGAGCCTGTGTTACACGTTGTTAAGGTGGCAGCACCACAGGGACAGACACCGACTAGGAGTTATGTTGTTCAGCGCGGAGTCAAAAGTCTAGCATAGGACATTTTAGCGTCTTTTTGCAGTGAAAAGCACATTGATTTGGAAATTCTTACAAAAATCAAATAATGTTGGATTTATTCACAAATGAATGAAATTATTCTGGAAAAGTTTTGAAAATCTTGGTTAAAAAAAAAACGTTTTTTTTTTTTACATCTGTTACCCAATCACGCCCAAACAAATTTAATTTTATGAAAGAAATTAAATTTTGTAGAGCTTTATTAGTTAAAGGCAAAACTCTTCGGAGAATTTAAATCGTCAATTTCTTTTTATATAACAGGACCTCCACTTACTGTAACTCTATTCTGAATCGTAAAATGAAAAATGCAATAAAACTAAGGCATTATTTAATTAGAAAAGCTTTTTTTTATGCATAAGATACATTATGGACATTATTGTCTTGAGAAAAAAAACTTTTTCAATAAATAAAGAATTGTTTCCATTTTTAAAATTTTTTAATTACTACAATTTATAAAGTTTTAAATATTAGTTAATAACTTATTTTGTACCGGTTAGATGATATTGTTAAATAAAAACTATATTTACTAATCATAAATGGAAGTGCTTACTACAATTCAGCGACCCCTAATATTTGAAAAAGAATTTTCAATTTTTTTGTGTGCGTATAAACGTGCCGATTTTTGTAAATACGACATTATCAAAAAAACAACAGCGATAACTATAGTAAATTCAAAGTCCAAGTATCTAAAATTCAATAAAACATTAGATAATAAAGAATATTTTCATAATTTTTTAAGATTACTGGGTAGTTAAAAATTATATAAAAAGGACGTTCACGTTATATTCCTTAAGTAATTTTTACAGATATGTCCCCCGTAGAAAAAATTAGATAAATTCCCGACTGTCAATCTGTCATCATCTATAATAAACACGTATCTTCGTGTTAAAAAAACATTTCTGCGATATTTTAAACTAAAAGTAAGTAATATTTGATTCAAACCAGATTAATTAAAATTTAAATTTCAGAAAAGTATATTTTATTTTTGAAAGATTTTTTTAATAAAGAAAAGTGTATTGTGCTGACAGATGGCTAAAAATGGCGCGATTTCAAAACAAGCTCCTTCCAGTCAGTTTAAATTAAATTTGAAATACAGCAAAGTATTTTGCTTATTAGAAATATTAAATTCAATCTATAAGCTTGAAATTAAAACTAAAATAAAAGCTTCAAGAAAGATTTTTCATTTTTAAAAATTAATATTAAACGTTGAATATCGCGTTTCTATGGAGGTACCTAATAAAACGCATATATTAATAAGAAATGTATATCTTGAAGTGTTCCTAAAAGCGTAACAGTGGCCGTGAATCGTTGCATCTAAGCACATCTTATCGTCGGCTGCTCAAGTTGGAAAAGGCAAAATTAAAATCTGATAACACCAGTTAAGATCGCGTTACACTCGTTATCAACGATGCAATCTATTCAACACAGAAAACAGACGAAAATATGTCTTTTAATAGAGAGACTCAGGCACCCCGGCAGCCAGAGCCGTCAGCGCCAAAACGTGTTTTTATGTTGTAGTCGCAGCCGACAACTTTTTTTTTCTTTCTTTAGATTCGTCCGAACTCTGAGGAATCTTGTTCTGAGAGAAACGAAGTCAGAAGGGGTTGCAGAGTTTCTCCTTCGACGGTTGCAGAGTTTGTTCTTTGAATTGGAAAAAAATGGTGGGAACGAAAAGAAAAAAAAAAACGAACATCTACATTAAAATATTGAGTTTTATATGGCGTGAAGTGTTTCACTTACTCGTTTGATCGCTAAAACAAACGAAACAAGATATATAGAGAGGGAGATAGATAGACACACAGTTGATATATATAATCTCATGTAGTAAAAATATAGGCTAAAGCTTAAAAAGAAGCTAAAAGCATAAAATATGATGGCTCAATGCCAAAGTTAAAAACTGAAATATATTATAATATTATCAATACAATAATATCAAAATTCTCTATCGATAACAATATGTAAATTGTTATATATCAATAACAATATTGGGGGGAAATATATGACAAAGTGGAAAAAAGTTTTAGCTTGATGCGTTTCGCCCTTTAGGACTTCATTGAATGAAATGAGTTACGTTTTGGTGCGACTACACATGCGCATGAGCGAGGGATGCTGGGAATTTAAAATTTTAGATTTTTTGTTCATATATATCCAAATGCAATGGTAACGAATCAAATATAAATTCAAACCTTCATAACATTAACTTAAAACAGGGCTTAATACAAAAGTAGAGCTATAATTCCTTATTATAGGTTATTGCATTCGAATGTAATAACCTGTAATATATATATATATATATATATATCACATTATGAAATGGACAAAGTCCGACAATTATTTTAAGACATTTTTATGTTTATACATTCTTTTTATAGAGATATAAATATTTAAGTAAATGCTCTGTTTATAATAAACAGTATTAAACAACGTTACCGGCCTGAATGTCCGAGAAATTTTCACTTTCACATTTACCGGAGGAAATACAACAATTTCGGTATTCGGGAAACCTTTTAATAGAGGGTGGCAAAATGCGACACTGAAATCCGAAGTCTCCTTGCGATAGCGAAACAAAAGCTAAGCAAAGTATTAAGAAACAGGAAAATTTCGTTTGAAACAAACAAATGAGCGTAAAAACTGTGATGCAATCTCAGTATTCCTATTTGGCAGTAGAAATGTAGGACAATCTCCTCACGGATGAAGAAGAGACAGGAAGTACCAGAAATGTTCTACAGAAGGATACTGAAAATACCATGGACCAAACATCTGAGCAACGACGAAGTTTTAGGGAAAATAGAAACAAAAAGGCTTCCGCTAGGCCAACCCTTCATTTCAACGTCCCGCCATGGCGCTTACATTTTATGAAACCACGCACATCCGTATTCCATCGAGGAGAAGTAAATTCTACTTGAACAGCCTCTTTCCATGAACCACTGCTCTACAGAACCGACTCCCAGGAGGATGTTTTCTCGACCACTACAAACTTAACCTGTTCAGGTTTAGGGGTAACCGTTACCTTCTTCTACTATTCATACAAACTGCCTCCTACCGTAACCCTTTAGCTCGAGTGGCCTTCGAACCTTGTAAAAGATGGACCCTACTGTAAAAGCAAAAGAAAATATAGTAATTTTTTGATTTGATTGGTTGGGTTTAACAAAAATTGTACATCTATCTACTCTTGTATTGCGCCCTGTGTTAAATTAAGGTTTGAATGTTTGAATTTTATTCTTCGTTCTTTTACAATTGGATATATATATATATATAGATATATATATATATATATATATATATATATATATGCTCTGTGGAACCGACTCCCAAGAGGATATTTCCCTGATCATTACATTCTTAATCTGTTCAAATCTAGGGTTAATCGTTACCTTTCCTCTCTTATCCGTACAAACTGTCTCCTAACCTAACCCTCTACCTCGAGTGCCTCCCGTGCCTTGTACAGGGTGAACCTTGCTGTGAAAAAATAAAAACAAATAATCATTGCCAAAGACTAGGAGTGAAGGCAGTTAAAACGGCGGTGTCATGGGGGAAAAACGTTCTTTTGACATTACAGCTTGTTGCAGACACGATAATCCATGTTTGCCTTTCTTTCTGTATGCAGGCGATTTGTTAAGTTTTGAAGAATTCTAACATCTTTTCCAAATAGATCGAGTTTTCCCAGCCCTTCCAAAAGATAGATCTTTGTGTCATATCTTTTAAAATGCTTTTGCGTAATCTATAAAACATAAGTGCACATCCATCTGCATTTGTATTTATTTATTTATCTCTCTCTCTTTCTTTTCTCTCTCTCTCTCTCTCTCTCTCTCTCTCTCTCTCTCTGTCTCTCTCTCAGTATCGCATTTACGGGTATAATATATGCGAAGAGATATATCATCACTTTGTACCTCAAACCAGCAGACGTGTGTTGTTAGTTTTTTGCGTAGGACGGTGTGCTGATCACGTTCAAGATATATGCTTTTAAACGACTCTTGTAGCTGTAGGCGGTGTTTCTTGTAGGAAGACACTGTTTGTATTACGAAACTCATGTTCATATCAGAGAGTAGCGGAAATTACTTGTTCTACAAATGAGCCAGGGAATTCTCCTGTTAGTAAAGCAGTGGACCGAAGATCATAAGACCTAGAGTTCAATCCCTGGGGCAATCCATTCAGTTTGTCAGTTATATTTATCAAGCAAAGAAGAGTACGTTCGGTAGCGGGGAAAAATTGCTCCAGTGAAATAATTTGGCAGTGGACTACCTCCCAGTAAATTGGGAACAAAAATAACTTATTTTTAGAAGACGTATTCTCTGGAATCCGAAATCATGATTTAAATTATATGGCCTTATTTTCGGAAATGTTGGTGGGTGCATTCGGTAGTGAGGCTTCGCTTTACGGTGAATATCTTTCAGGCTGTTATGGTGGAGGTTGAACAACGTGAAATATCGGATTTTGACAGGCAAAAGTATTAAGTGTATGAAAAAGTTCCCAACTCATTTTTTTTTTTTTTAGCTTTTTTTGCAAACTAGAGAATGAATAAACGAGATAAATTTGTTTTTTTTAGAAACAAACCCTAGAAACGTTCACGCAGATCTAATCAAACAATATTTTAACACGTTGAATTTGTAGTGGCAAACGAAGCGATTTCTCATGACCACAGGAAGGTGTACCTGATGAAATCGCAAATATGTCTTTGAGAAAGACCAAAACAAATATACTCCAAAAAGCACCCGGAAGGTTGAAGAATGTATTGACCGAAAGGTTGTGTTAAAAACAACCAAGAAGAAAACAACAGTTCGAAAAATACAGGGTGCGATGTGTAAATTGTCGTCATTTTATATTTTTAATTTTGAGTTTGTCGACTTCACAGTATAGTAGGGTCAGTTTGGCACCATCTGTGAGACAAAGAGCTCTATGATACAATTCACTTCGGCAGATATATAGAACCGGTATGCTGTTTTGTTTGGCATTCGCGCCGGAAGCTCCAATACGAATATTTCAGAGTGTTTGGTGTCAATCTGAGGACAGTGCAGGTGGTTCTGAAAGAGTTGGATGAGTCTAACGGTGATTACGAATGTGTTTGAAGTGATCACTAGTGACGGCGATGTTATGCCTCCATCTATCTTCCTACATGGGCTCAAACTCAGCACGAAGACCTACATCAAGTCTCTTGAAAAGGCAGTGCTGCCTTGGGTCAAGAGGGTTACCACTGGAAGACCCTATGTCTAACAGCATGACTCTGCATAATGCCACACAAGCAGAAGATCACAGTTATGGATGTCAGACAATTTCTGAAAGACTGCGACCTCCTTGATTATTATGTGTGGGGCGCAGTTGAGCGTGAGACCAACAAAACTCAAAGATCAACTGAAGGCAAGGATTATGGCAGCATTCACAAACTTAAACAAGAAGACCGTATAGAAGAATTGCAGGAAATTCTGAAGTCGTCTGAAGGTCGCGGTTGATGCTAATGTTGACTTTACTGAATAAATTCACTCTTTCGTATTTCAAGATATTTTTGTATAATTTTGATAAATACATCAGTTAAAATGAGATGCCAGTGTTATTTTCATTTTGGCGTCATTCAGACAACAATTCATCCATCGCACCCTGTATATCTGTTAAAATGAGATGTCAGTTTTATTTTCACTTTTGGCGTCATTTCGAAGACAATTTATCCATCGCACCCTGTATATCTGTTAAAATGAGATGTCAGTTTTATTTTCACTTTTGGCGTCATTTCGAAGACAATTTATCCATCGCACCCTGTATATCTGTTAAAATGAGTTACCAGCGTTATTTTTATTTCTGTGTCATTTCGACGACAGTTTATCCATCGCACGCTCTATATGAAATAATGAAAGTGCTTCAGCGAAAAAAGTTGGAAAAAAATTAAGAAAGCCGCAGAACATATTAATCGAAAACTTGTTTTAAAAACAACCAAGATGAAGACAACAATTCTAAAAATAGATTGGATTGTTCATAATCGCAGAACTTTAGAAAACACCAGGAAGATCTAAGAATATATTATTCCTCGCTTCTTTCTCTAGTTGCTAAATGCATGCTTCTCCCTTCTTCGGTTTGTATCTAAATTTAAATTCGTACGAAAAGAACAGTCATACTTGCTACACAAAAATATTTTCGAAGGTGCAAGACAAAATTTAGGATGAGTAAGCCATTTGAAAAATGAAATATCTCAATAAGCAATCCTATAAAGTTTCTGCGTTTTTATAAGCTCAGATTAATCTGGTTACAAGGCCAACTCATGGGATGTGAAATAAAAGAAAATTATGTTTCAGCAAAGTATTACCATCCTAGAAAATCGATATTCGAAATGCTGACTGGACTTGAAACCCGTAGTAGGGTTTCAATTGGAAATATGCAACGACCTCAGCCATATGGCAGACCAAATTTGATTGCTGTAAAAGTTTCTCTCACCGTCTGCTAGAACCTCATTAGCTTCGTTAGAGTTTCTTCTGTCTAAAATGTCAGTCTTTACGAAAAAAAATAACACAGACCAGGCCACATTCTAAAACGGTTGACGTTCTCTCAACCTGTCCGCCTGCCAATAACACTGTGTGTACAATAGACAACCTGAAATATTACATTCCACTTACGAGTGTGGGTGAGTCTGGATTTATTGTTACAGGCACCTTGAAATCTGTATGCGAAAAACAAACGAAACTAGCAAAAGAAAAAAAAAGCAGAAAAAAAGTATATTTCGTAAACCTTGCCAAAAATTAGAATGAAACAATATCTGATACATTTGCACTGCAGCTGAGACGCACCTAAATTTTAGAATCAGCGATTGAGGATTATTTATAAGACGAAACCCGTGGTAGAAATGGCTACGTATTTCCCAACAGCCCTAGATGTCTAACGCTGCCTTCTAATATCTTCTATGTGCGGTGTCCATTCAGGACATAAGCGATCATGGCTCGCCACAACTTTCTGTCCTTTGTAGCTCTTAATAAATTTTGACGTTTTCTTATCTCTCCTAAACCTTCTTTCGCCATCCATTTATTCAATCTCATTAAATAGATTGTGCGTTGTTTTCCTCTGTCTCTCTTGTCTTCAGTCTGTCCTGTGAGTATCAAATTTTCCAAGCCCTCTTTCCTTATTATCTACTCTAAAGATTTCAACTGTCTCTTCCTGATTTTACGTATAAGTTTCTTTCTTGTTTCTTTTTTTCTCTAAAACTTCGTCGTTGCTTACATATTCGGTCCATGGTATCCTCAGCATCCTTCTGTAGAACCATATTTCTGTTTCTTCAAGTCTCTTCTTCATATAGTGATTTTCTAAGCGCTGCTTAGATGTGGCACGAGGTCGAAATTATGGAGCACCCAGTGAAGATCGAACTCACTACTCAGTCGTAATTGTTCTAGCGAGACAAGATTTCTAACCATTACACCACGTCGAGGTACCCAAGTCTCTTCTTCATATATGAGGAGATTGTCCAGCACACCCTGTGTTATGGGACCTTACCCATAATAACATAATGGACTATATCATAAGTAATAAATACTGCGCCTCAAGAGGAAGCAGAGAGTTCAGTATGAAGTCAGCGCGAGCGAGCGAGTCAGTCAGTCAGTCAAGTCAGAGGCAGTCCGAACAGAGTCGCGTTCAGACAATTACTACTAAACCTGATTGTTCGTACTAACACTTTCTTCTTCTCTATATATTCCTGTTTGTAATGTATCTGTGTTACTCCATATCCGTTTTCGAGTTCTTCTTTAATGGTTCTACCTTGGACTATCACCGTGGTACAAGGAACCGGACCATAACAGTGGCGACGAGGAAACCAACTCTCTACGCGGAGGACATACCTTCTTTCTTTCTTTTTTTTTTTTTTTTGCTATCCGTCGCGCATAATAAGTGGCGACGAAGATTCGAACTCACACGTGAAGAACAAACAACAAAATCATCACTCATCAACATAACAAGTGACGACGAAGAAACCCCTAAAAAGGAAATACGAACTCTATACACGGAGGACTTATTTTTTTGCTATACGTCACACATAACAAGTGGCGATCTGGAAAACCCTTAAAGAAAAATGAACTCCCTACTCGGAGGACATATTTTTTTTGCTATCCGTCGTACGTAATAGTGGACGACGATTAAATTCTAAAAAAATTTACTTTTTTCTTTTCTTGATATCAAATTTCACTGACAACAAAGGAAAGTTTTTTCTTGCGAGCACAGGTTACAGAATATCAGGTTACACAAAAAATACGTTAACATGGAAGATTTTAAGTCAACCATTATGGAACTTATCAAAATCCAGTTTGAACAACAACAAAGGTATGAACAAAAACATCTGGAAATGCAAGAATTATTGATATGTACAATGGCAAATAAGGAGCAAAAACCCGAGAACGAATCAGTTCTCTCTCAAGACGCTATTTGGAGTAATATCGAAGATTTCAAGTATGCACCCGACGAAGTTAAATTCTTTTGCAAATTACTTCCGAAGGTATGAAAATCTATATGATTTTGACTGCAAAGATTGGTCAGACGCACGTAAAGTACGCCTTTTATTAAGAAAATTAGCACAGGCGAATATACCAAATTCGTTGATTATATACCTTCCCAGAAAAACAACGGTTAACGTTCAAAGAATCTATAAAATTGCTAACGGAACTTTTCAGAACCAAATAAAAGATGGAAAGTAAACTTACAAAAAGGACGAAGATTCGTCATCCATTGTTAATAAAATGAACTGTATCCCTTAACTGTCCAAGGTCGTCAGTCGTAAAAAACTAAATGTTCACCTGTTCTCGCATATTCCTGGTAAACTTGTGTCCCTGTATTTGGTTTCAACATGTTTTGAAATGAGAGGCCTCGAAGCTGGAATACGGGCATGCAATCCTGCA